TTGAAGTTGTGATCACGAAGTTTTTTAGACCAACTGGTCTAGGTTTATTTCTGACATATTGCCTATATGGAATACGTCCTAAAAATGGTATCATTTGTTCATCAATCGAAAAACAACTTACATTACGCGATATACTTAAACATGCATTACGTACGCTGTCGATAATTGGTTTAATTTTCCAAAAGCGATCTGCTTGTGGCGGACGATTGTTGATATCCACATAATGTTAACAAGAACGTAGTAAAAAAAACTTATCTCTAGTTATGGATTGTGCAATTAAATCAAATTGGATACCTCTTTGCCAGTACATGTGAATACGAAGATACTTTATTATACCGATCATGGCATGAGCTCCATAAAGAACTTTTATTTAATTCGCACAGGTTTTAAGTTCTTTTCCTAGTTTCGACATTGCATACATATTCGTAAATAAAGCCGCTTTATTAAAGCGGCTTCATCAAAATGCGAGTCTGGAAGATATTTTTTAATATAACTAGACGCTGATTTGATTACTTTAAAATTATGTGGACCGTATTGCTGATCTGGTAATTGAATACTATTAAAGGGTACTGGAGCCCAACCAGTAGTTGTTACAATAGTCGGAGTTTGTGGTTGATTATGTAGTGGTAAAGTAGGTAGTGTTTTCAAGGTATCTTTAATAAAATCATGATCATTAACCTGTTCAAACCCATCATCTTCTTCTTCGTCGTCGTCTTAATTATCTGCAGTATTTTTGTTAATAACTGGAGGTTGCCACGTTTTGTCAGCATAGGAATCAGCGGCGGATTCTGAATTTTAACCAGCCCGGGAGAATTTCGTTTCACCGGCCCAAAACTCCATAAATACAAAAAATTTATTGAAAATGTTGTAAAATTATAATAGGTAATACATAATAATAATTTTAGTTTGGTTAAATAAATTATTTAATATTCCTAATTTATTACTTACATAAACCATAAAAGTATTATTAATATATATGTATTACATAATATATATAATATATCAATTAATTATATCATATTCATTATTCATTATTCAAGTGATGTATTGTATAGGTATATTATTCAACATATGACATTATGAACAATTGTGATAAACAGTGGAAGCACGCCTGCATATCATACAAATTAAAAAATTGAATAAGGTAGAACTTGCCAAAACTTAATAATTAATATGATAGTTTTTTATTTAAGAAATCACTACTATTTTTTATAATGTCAATAATTTCTTCTGAGTCTATACTATGTAATATACTTTTTTCCACATTCATAAGCATAAATGCTTCTAACTTTTCTTCGCTCAATGAATTTCTTAATCGTGTTTTGATTATCTTTAGCTTAGAGAACGACCTTTCACATGCTACCTGATAAGTCAAAATAAGTAATTAAAATATACCGTATAATTAAGTACTAAAATAAGAATTATAAAATTTGAAATGTATGTCATTACCTGTGTACATGGAAGTGTAAGCAGATACTTATAAGCAAGAAACAAAAAATGGTATGCATTACTATACAAATTATACTTCAAAAGTACATTATAGCAACAGTGAGGACAATTCATGCAAGACTTGCAGTGTACTTCTTCAACATTTGTGCCATGTTTATCACTTATTTCTTCTTCAATATCATCTTCGCTACTTTTTTCATAGTATTCAGGTACAGTTCTTTTTAACTGATCCCAGGATGATGAAAAATTTAATAATTCATCTAACAATTTAGCATGAGTCAATTTGTCATCAAATTTTTTCAAGACTTTGGACAATTCAAGTAATGTATCAGATGGTAATTCTTTATCATGTAAATCTTTAAAGTTATTTGGTGACAAACATGCTAAATCACAGTACAGTTTTTTATTGGAGGAGAACCTTTCTTCCATGCAAGAAATTGTTTTGTCAAAAATTATATTGTGAACTTCAACTGTGAATTTTTCTTCAGCATCAAGTATAGGTTGATCTGATGTCATCTCATCAGCCATTTTTTTTTTGTGCCTACATCTGATTTTTGGGAACTCTTTGTCAATTAAAATATCCATTTTATGGTTATCTTCAATTATATTTATGAATTGATCTGCTTCAGATTTTACATCTTTCATACCTCTCTGAATTTGTTTTAAATTATGTAAAGTTTTATTTACCAATTCTTGAGATTTTATCAAGTCAATTCCTGAGGTTTGTAGATATCTAGATAAAGGTCCCACAATTTTAAAAATTTTAATGTAAATCAATGCTGTTAATATTAATTCATAACTCATAAATGCTTCTTTTAGATTTCTAGCTTTTGCTTTAATTTCAGGATTAAAGTCAGGGGATGATTGAATTGTATCTAATGATATTATAAGTTGCACATAAAGGTTATCTTCACCAAAAATAGTTTGTAAAGATTTTTCTTTTGACCACCACCGCGTCAATCCGATAGAAACCAATTTTTTTTTAATATTTTCTCCAACAGTATTTTTCCAAACATTCATTCTTTTATAAGATTCTTTGAAAAACACAGCGACTTCATTAAGTAAAGAAAATAGTTTTACTGCAGGCAATGCAGACTTAGTAGAGTCTATTAAGACTAAATTAAGAACGTGACTATAGCACCAAACATGTACTTGTCCTGGTGATGATTTAGTAAGCCACGCAGAAAACCCATTATACTGACCTTGCATATTCGAAGCCCCATCAGTAGAGTTACCAATACAGTTTTTTATATTAAGTCCACAACTTAACAATTTATTTTCTAACATTTCATGGAAACTTTTTCCTTTGGTTTCTGTCATAGTTACAACTGATAAAAGTTTTTCATGTACACCACTGGAGTTTACATACCGTACAATGAGTGAACATTGGTCCTGTACTGATACATCTTGAGTAGTATCCATCTGTACTGAAAACATAAGTGCCTCTAAAATCTGTGAAGATATGTTTTTCTTAATTAGGGTACTTATGGAATCGATCACCATATTGACTGTGGTTTTTGAAATGAAAGTAACCTTCGAAACTTTTCCTTTAGAGTTTCCACTATTTGCTTTACGCTGAGCCTTATTAGTTAACGAATCAACATGTTCATTTAGGACAATGTCATACTTTTTTAAAAGAAGCAATATATCCAAAAAATTGCCATGATCTAAAATAGGATTATTTAAAGACAAAGCGGATTCGTTCCTATGAGCTCGGTAACTAAGTCCTCTCTTACCAATTAATTTTACTATATCTATGACACGCTGAAGTATTTGTATGTTTTTTTTAATTTCTTCTTTTTTTTTCTTTTTAAAATCAGAAAATAGTAATATATTAATAGTTTTGTTACTTGTATGTAAAAGATATGATTCAGAACAAGACATATGTGTTTTACTAGCTTCATGTTCTTCTATACGTTGGTATACATGTGTCCAAACAGATAAGCCTTTAGTGAATAGATTAGGTTCTGAAGAAAAAGCTAAGCATACACTACAAAACAAGCTTTTTGATTGATTATCAAAACTTAGCCACTGGCGTTTAATACTATTGCTTCTAAAATAAGCTTTAGATGATTTAAACAGTTTTTCAACATGAGGTTGTTTTGGATGATACTTAAAAAAATCATTGATACTAGACAGCATAGGTTTTTGAAAATAATTTAAAGTAAAATTATTATCTAACAAATTATTGTTGTCAACATCTTCAACCATAACAATATCTTTGTCATCATCAACATCAGCATTAACCAAAGCACAAACTTTCATAACATTCTCCTACACATAATTTAATACACAAAAATATATTTAGTTTGCAAGCACGTTTAGCAATTATTATGTTACAATATAGACATAAAAGAAATATTTTTTAAAAGCATTATGATTTATTTATTTATAGATATTTATTTAAGAATTAAATTTTAATTTTACCTTTTCTAGTATATTTAATGTATTATTAACATCTTTGCAATTGACAACTTCATCAGAATTTGAATTATTACTTAATATTTGATTACTCTAAACCATTTATAAAAATGTAAAGAATTACCTATGTTCTAATAAATTTTTTAACTAATAAGTTTGTTAATTAAATTGTAATCTTACCACATCAACAGTATTTAAGAAAGTATCATCAACACTGCAATCATTGACAGCATTAGAAATTGTAGTATTACTAGTAGTAGTACAATTATTACTCTAAAACAATTAAAATAATTCAGTAAATAATCAGTATTCTTATTTATAAATTATTAGGTAGGTACCTATTTTAATACAGATGCAATGATTTATCATTTTGTATTGAACAAAAAAATAAAACATAACATTATAAATTGTTAGGTACAACAATGTTGTTGTTGTCTGTTTTGTTGTTCTTTAATTATAGCCTATAGGTACTCACTTTTTGAATTGGTGGGATTGAAAATAATTCCGAGATTGGTCTACATTTGTTCGCTTGTGAAAATAAAAGTTTTTTATTTTTTTCCCTAGTTTTTTGGGCTCCGCCTTTACGTTTATTTTCCGACATTGATTACTCTAACAAAAAACACTTTAAAAAAAACGTTAACACATTACACCAGTCACCAAATTATAAAATAACACGTCTTCGTGCGTCTAGATTTTTAATCGATGCCAAAATCTATTTAAACAAAAATATTAATGTCATCTTTAATCAATGTTATCATAACGGCCGCATGCTAAATCGCGTGCACACTACAATACAAGCATAGACAATATATAAATTTATATTTATGTGTACAGTATGAATACAACCGTGGTCGTACGCTTGATATCTGCATTTTGATTGATTGTTTGTATTTCGGTTAGGTATTTCCAGTTACTGAGATAATACCGGGTTTATCATAAAAATTAGCTAGTATAGTTTTTATTTATAGATAATAATATATGTACTAACGCATTACACATAATATTATAACTTATAGTTAACATAGTATGATGCACAAAATGTCATGTAGATAATAAAAATATTTTTATCGAAAAATAATATTTTTTTAAATAAAAGAGAACATAATATTTTAGTATAAATAAATTATAAAATCTGTTTTAGGATGATAGGCTCGTTAGCTATGACCGGCTCCGGCCCACCGGGAAACTTCCCGGCCTCCCGGTGGCACAATCCGCCACTGATAGGAATCGTCACTAAAACCATCAATGTCTGACTTATGAGATAAAAATGATAAAATATCACCCTCAGTTATAGTTTTCGGTCTTATAATTTATAATAAAATAAACCTTAATAATTTAAAATAAAAATGTTACTAATACACGAAAAAATACTATAAAAGTAATACGTTAAGTACTACACACGATCAGCGTTGTGAACGAACTAAAATAAATACTATAAAACCAACGTACACATACGTGTGGGTAAGGCTACGGTTACTATGTATGTGAGTTCTGACGTATTCGTCTAAACAAACAAACGCATGTTTTCTAATGAGATTGTTTACACTGGTAGCGTTGAGTACGTCACAACATACACGACGTCGTCAGAAACAGTTGAGCGTTCAAACAAGTTTGATTATTTCGTCCGAATTTCGTCTGTTTTGTCGAGATTTGATTATTATATAATTATATAATTATCACAATTTATTTGTTTATTTGAACCATGGATCCCGATAAATTAATCAGTCTCGTGTATGAGAATAGGTGTTTGTGGGACATGAGTGAAAAAAATTACCACAACAGAGATATTTCTTGGCAAAAGTTGGAGAAAGTTGCTACAGAACTCAACACTAGCAGTAAGTACAATTTTTAATTTAATATCATATTGAAATGAATATACTAATATTTTTAAAACAAGTCACAAAAAACCAATTATTTTAAAACGGTATTTATTTACTTATATTATATTATTTTATACGCTATTATAACCATTCAATTGTATTCAATGCATATCAGTATGTCGCAACTCGTGTTATATTATTTTCCAAAAAGTATGGGAAGTGATAAATACCAGTTATTATTAGATTTTATTTTGTTAAATATGAATGTATATATCTAATAATAAATGACAATATCCATGATATTTTGTATGTTATCGACAAAAATTACGAGCGTGTGTGCCTGTGTCGGTTGTCCAGCATAGTAAATAGAATAGAAAACAACATAAAAAACAACTATAATCCGTTAAAAAATTATTTTTTATTACAAAATAAATTTAAATAAATTTGAAGCTCTTGTTTACAACAGTAGACTGTATTGAAACGGGATTTCACCTGCTGGACTAACAAAATAATTTTTCAAAGTTTCTCTAGTTTTATTCGCGATTCTTCCGTAGTGATTATATCTCCGTGAAATTGGAACATTATGTTGGGGCTCAAAGCTCACCTCAGGAAAATCAAAGGATGTAAGACCTTCCTTATCAATGATTATATTATGCAAAAGACAAACACATTTAACCACAATGTCTACTTTATCAGGATCGATTTGTAGCTCAGTTTTTAAACATCTCCACTTGGCTACTAGTATACCGAAGGCACATTCTACGCATCGCCTAGCTCTCGATAATCGATAATTGAAAATACGTTCTTCAACAGTGAGTCTTTTTCTTGAATATGGTTTCAACAAATTTGTTTTTAAAGGATAGTCATCATCACCCAACAAAACAAAAAGTGCTGAAATGTCAGTTAATGGAATATTTTCATTCTCTGGTATGTTTAAAGTGTTTGCTTCAAGCCGTTGATAAACATTTGAATCTGAAAATGTTCCCGCATCACTCTGTTTACCGTAAGACCCGACTTCAATAGCAATTGAAGATATCCTTTGATGTCCACAGTACACACATTTCCCTTCAGAACCTTTGAGATATTCGTTCAATTCTACTTGGATAGAAAACACGTCGTTAAATTTATTCAACGACATCATAGTAGAAGTTGTCTCAAGGTTTTTGACTGAACAAAAATTATTTTGGCATCTGCTGTTTCTGATAAATGATGGCATGTCTGCCATTAATTTACTGACCGTCGATGCTGCTGTGTCAGTCATATCAATACGTTCGAGCCCACCAACTAGATATTTTATTTTATCGCCAAAAAACTGCATAACTAGTAATAATCGTTCTTAGTAAATATCCTTAAAATTATTTTGTGAAATCATCTTTAATAATAACTTTGCAGTTGTATTAGATGATGACTAATTGATAATGATATTTTTGAATTTTAGACTGTCGCAGCTGATGATGCTAAAATTGATATCATAGAATCTACCGAACAAGTGTTACTTAATACCATTTTTCCTACTCTGGGAACCATAATCGCCCTGTTATTAAAACTATTTCCATTCTTTAATAGAAATATTGGAGTGATTGAAACTTTTTTATTAAAATCGACATACTCGAAACCTGTATGTGAAATAAGATTTGAATGTGAAGATCTTTTTTTTTTTGATAACTGTTTTTTTTCCATACTTCTGTTGCTTTATTTTCTATCTTTTTCGACTTTTTTCTATCACAGTCCTTACATATTCTTTTCTGTCCATAATCTTCATTACCATCTGGTATTGCAACTGAACATCCGAAAATACTAAAGGATTTTTTACAAAACATACATCTGTATAATTCTGTAGGATAATCTTTGTACGTACAATCACTGCATGTTTGATTTTCATTCAATAATATGTCTTGTACAATTGGCTTCTTAAAATTTTTATTTTTGTTTATTTTTTAATATTTTTAGAGATCACTAATATATCATCTTGAAACTCGTCATTTATTTCTCTTTCTACAGTTCTTTGAATGTCTTGAAATATATTATCATCATTATGTACAAATACTAGGCTATCATTAGTTTTTTGAACAGGGTCAGGTTCATTTTCAAATGAAATACTGTCTTCTCGAGTGTCACATTGTAATGATGTATGATCATCTATAGCAGGGATGGGCAACTCAAAGTTACTAGAGGGCCAATTTTTAGAAATTTAAAATCTAGCGGGCCAGAGCATAGAAAGTAAAAAAAAAAAGGTCATTTAAAATATACATTTTAATTAGCATTTATTTTGTTTATAATAAAATAGGTAATACAAAAAGCGTTATTGAAAAAAATTTAATCAAATAGTTATTTGCAGTTCAGTGAGAATTTTGAGGATGTGTGGCTTCTAATGACAACGTGGCAGAATCTACTTGTATGACTATACCTAATGCAATTTGAAAATGTAGCGCGGGCCAGATAAAAAAGGCTTGCGGGCCGCCAGTTGCCCACCCCTGATCTATAGAATACTGATCAATTATTACCTCTTTTTCTGCGGGTAAAGTTTGTTGAACACAATTATTTTCATATACAATAGTTGACCTATCTAGAATGACTGGATGATGAACTGATTCATTTTCAGTTGAAGTACCATCTTCCCAATCTTGATTATCCCCTTGTATCAACAAGTGGTCACCTTTATAAAACATAAATAATTTATCCAAGAACAAGTCAATCCTTAAGGGTAAAGATTCATTTTTAAAAAGTTTATTCTTCAAGTTTTCTTCTGTTCTACTACTGGAAGCAGTCTCTGTTCCATATCCAAAATTATCCCTCATAATTTCAGACCAACATGTGCAGAATTTCATTTTATTAACTATACACTTCTCTAAGCTTGGAAGAAACTGTGCATTATCAAACTGCCCAATTATATCTTGAGTATTTTCTCTGGCTTTGTCTGCTATTGATTGAGCCCATTGCTTGAAGGAATCCAATGAAATAGAAGCTATGTGATTATTATCACCATATCCATCATCATTTGTTTGGCGGTATTCAGTATCTATCTGTTCTAAAAATTCCAAATAGTGTTTTTTATTTGAAATGAGTTTTGAAAGGAACTTCTTTTTTTCAGCACATGGAGTATTGGCAATTGAATTACAAGCTTCTGACAATATTGGGCCATCAAATTTTGTTAAAATTATCGTAAAAATCGCTTCTAATATTTTCTCGGTTTCATAAACACATGGGCAAAGAATAAGGAGTCCCATCTCCCTTATAATTAATTCTTTAGTTCTAATAAATTTGGAGTCTTTAACTTCTTTCCATTGTGAAATAAGATGTACAAAGTGATTGACATCGTTTCTCATGAAGCAGGTCGGAAGCTCTTCTTCTTTTTTTAATACAACAATTGAAAAACCTACTTGAAGATACTGCTCGAGGGATTTATACTGAGTGACGGTTTGAGTTAAAGCTGACATTAAAGCAATTTACTGGTCACATATAACGACCTTTGGGGATTTAACTCCACAATGTAGCCATCTGTTAAGCCATGTACTTATAGACAAGGTGTCATGGCGTTCGGAGAGCATTGACATAACAGTAAAGGTATGTTGATCGATACTCATTACACCTTCATATAGAAAAATTGGTCCACTACGTATATTTTCATTTCTTTTAATTTTTCTTACACAACCACCTGTGGCATCGAATGAAATCGTTATGATTCTTTCTTTTCTAGAATAATCCTTGTAAATTTGAAGCTGTGTGTTACAGGGGAAGGGGGAACACCGACTGGCCTTGACGAGCTGATGGCTGAACTGCTTATCGAAGGCCGAACTGCTGATCCTCTCGTGAAATGGTGACACGAACGTGTATACCGGTGGCGTTGTGCTGCTTGCACGGGTGAGTGCGGATGTGAAGTGGAGCTACTGTCTTGAATCGCGTCACACGAGTGTGCACCTAAACGCAGGGCAACGGGCTGAAGACTACAGCCAATCTCCTCGTGGAGCGACGGACGACGAACAATAACAGACTGCTTGTGGAACAACGGTTGGCGTGACAACACAGTGTTGCCAGGTCAAATTTTCATATGTTTCGATTTTATTATTAAAAAGTTTCGATTTTATTTGTTTTATACCCAGATTATTTTTTTTTTAGGCTCAGACCTCGCTTCGCTTGGTCTTCGATTGGATAATCC